CCAATAAAATTAGTAGTACAATTATCTTAGATATTGTGGGATGTCTGTGTGTGTGTGTGTGTGTGTGTGTGTGTGTGTGTGTGTGTGTTTTCCCCTTCCCTCAGCAATTCTTTGCATGAGTGTGTGTATTGTGTGTGTGATGGCTATACTTTCCCTTGCCTCAGCAGTTTGGTGCATGGGGTGTGTATTTACCCTTTCCTGAGTGGGGTGTGTGTGTGTGTGTGTGTGTGTACGTGCGGGTGAGCTCCCCCCCCCACCCCCGTCCCTCAGTGGCTCCTACCATCCAGAGCCCTAATAAGGGAGCCAGGGCAGCAGGAGTGTGGAAAGGCTGGGAAAGCCAAGGGAGCCTGGGGCTGAGCAGCCAGGGGTAACCTTGGGAAATAGGGGCAGCCAGGGCCAAGGCAAAGTTCAGAGCTGAGGTTCAGGTTACAGCCTTAGAGCACTGGTAGATGCAAGGAGGAACAATTGCCACCGCCTCTGGTGACAGCCCACTCCTTCACATAAATATACCCGAGTATAACAACAAAAAGTCAGTTCTGAATATTTACATATATCATTCACTAGCACCATTTTATTAAGTGCCTTCTGAGCGCCTCAAGAGAAAGAGGGCTGGGCATTGGTAAGCTGGAAAGATGGTTGATGGTTCTCTTGGGGCTTACGGTTCGCCAGCTGCAGAGGGAAGGTCATTGTAGAGCCACCACCAAGTTGCAGTGTTTCTGATGGTCGGGGAGACAGAACCCTCTGGCAAGAATGCCCATATGCTGCAGGATAAAGGAACTTGGAGCCACCTACTGTCTCAGGAAGCCTGCCCATGGTCCAATCGTTGGACCAGAACAGTGGGAACAGGGTCAACTACCGCCAGCTTCTTTATTTTTGCCTCTGTCTCCACCTTAAGACTAACAGAGAAAGCCACATATGTCTGCCAAACCAATCACATCAAATACCCCTACATCTACTAGCTGCCCCAGCATTCCCAAGTCAACAGCTTCAAAGCAGAAGGTACCTGGGGCTCCCGTTCCTTTTGTGAAAGCCTTTTCCTTCCCTGCCTGCCTTTGAGCCTCTGCCAAAAGCAAGAGGGGATTGGCTCTTACTATAGCAGGTTCTGAGTCTATAACATTGTGCTCCTTTGAGCAGTTTTAATTTTTTTTTTTCCGTTCGGAACCGAGGATTGAATTCAGGCTCTTGTGCTTGCCAGGCAAGTGCTTATTCTACTGAGCCATCTCCCTGGCCCCTAATTCTATTTTATCAGACCATCTTAATTTGAGTTTGATGGGATGCTGATTATGCCAAAACCTGCAATACCCTTTCCCTCACTTCTCTGGGGTGAGGACCTAAGAATCTATGTTCTAATCAAGGGTAGCAGCAGCTTATTCTTATGCATGGTTAGAGTCTGTGTTGGACCCAAGCTGGAGAAAAATGAAAAGTTTAATAAGAGATTAGAACTACAGAAATTAGGGTTAGGGTTAGGGTTTAGAATAAAAAAAATAAAATAAAGAACTACAGAAAAAGAGCTGGGGAGATAGTTCAGTAGAATAAGTGCTTGCCTGGTAAGTGCAAGGTTCTGAGTTCAATCCCCGGTACCTGAAAAAAAAAAAACCAAACCTACAGAAAAAAAAATCAAAAAAACATGAGGGTTAGATTCAGGCCTAAGGTTCATCTCAGCCCCTTGCCTCACCTGCGACCTCAAGCAGTTCACGAAACATCTTGATCCAAGATGCTGTTGATACTCTTTCAACCTAATAGACGATTATTAAAGATAAAACTACTCAGGACATGGTATATAAATGTTAGTTATTACAGTGAAAAACTATTCCTACAGCCTCACTTTGGGAATTAGTACCTTAATGGAATTTCTTGAGGAGTTATGAATTGTATACATCTACTCTCTTACAATAACTTAGGGAGAAATCCAGAAAAAAAATGAACCACAAAAAAGAAAGAACAACCCAAAACTGCACAGTGAATTTGCCTATGTAACCCCCAAACTAGACTAGATTTTTTTTCATAGAGGACACAAATGAGGTATTCAGTTTCCATTAAGGGAGAGCTTTCAGGAATCCTTGAAATGTCTTTCTAGAATCACCGCTGAGCTGCCCTTCAAAGCAGCCTAACTGGGGCCGGGGAGATGGCTCAGTGGAATAAGCGCTTCCCTGGCAAGCACAAGGGCCTGAGTTCAATCCCCGATTCTGCCAAAAAAAAAAAGGAACTCAGCTACATATACTCTGGTTTCTCTTCAAAGCAGCCTAACCAGGAGTTCCATCAAAAGTTCTTGGGCAGGAGGATTGCTGTGAGTTGGAGGGCAGCCAGGGATACCTAGCTGAGTTCAAGGCCAGCCTGCACTGTATAATTAGACCCTATGTTTTTAAAAAAGTTGTCTTCAAAGTAAAGTATATACATCATTAAATTTTTTTTTTGCTGTTTCTATTTTTTAAAATTTATCTTTTGGTAAAATACTCATGATCATTATCATCATTAAATTCTAAGGAGGTACGAATTCTAGTTAGCTGTAATTATAGTTTATTCTTAACAATGGATAATGTTGCTATTGTCAGTGTTGTTCCTCAAGGACAAAGCTGTGACTGATTGAAGATGGAAAAATCTTTCCATTTTGGTCACTAAATTATAGAGGTGACTGTGATTTGTAATTATAAGTTAAACAAATTAATGGCACTGCTCAAGAAAACAGTGTTATCTGTAATTCTAGGCCTTAAAGAAATAAAAAGCATGCTGGGGAGATAGTTCAGCTGCTTAAGTGCCCGCCTAGCAAGCACAATGTCCTGAGTTCAATCCCTGGTACCAATAAATAAATAGATAAATAAAATACAAAGCTACCATAGAATGGGATATGTGATCTTGGCAGATACTTGGCTTGGAGCTGCATCCTGTTGACATCACACTTTACACTTTATAGGACTTCTGGTTTCTAATGATTCTGGTTTCAAAAAAAAGAAAATAAGATGATTACCTTATTGATACATGTTTCCAATAAGGCAACCATGCCATGAATTTTTTTTTTTTTTTTTCAGAACTGGGGTTTGAACTCAGGTCTGTGCGCTTGCCAGGGAAGCACTTATTCCACTGAGCCATGTCCTCGGCCCCAATGCCATGAAATGTTTGATATGGGTTTCTGATACTGATATCAATGTGTGTAGGTGTCAGGTACAAATAGAAAATTTTGGGGCAGGGGAGATAGCAAATGCAGGGTCCTGAGTTCAATCCCTGTTCCGGAAGAAGAAGAAGAAGAAGAAGAAGAAGAAGA